CTTTAGGATTTGTCAATTAGTGAACTATTCATGTTATAACATTGTATTATACTAAATCTCTTTGAAAAGGTAATTTGATTTCAGACTAATACTAATCTGAATTGTAGTAGCAGTACTTGTGTTGATCGATATATCTATATATAGTTATATATGTATTTCTGTTTCTCTTAAATTGTTGATTGATCACAAAATCACTACGCGTACATATTATCTAGATCATTTGTATTTGAAGGCTGGAAAAAAGAAAAGAGGTGACAGAATATAAAATTTTGGATTAAACTGATTTGAAACTGATTGGGTTGATTAATTGGGTTGATTAAACTGATTTCAAAATTGGATGATCAACATTAATTAATTCCTTCGTTGGTAATTAATATCTAAAACGAGCATAATACCGTGTGTTACACAGGTGTTTGTATTTTTTGTTAAAAAAATACAGTACTCGTGTATTACTTGTTAAAAAATGTATACATAAATTTAAAAAATAATACAAAAAATTATTTTTTACATCTTAAATATTTTTTTGAAAAAATATATTTAAAATGACACTATCACATATAATACTTAATCATCTTATATTATAATATTTTTTAACTTATAAATTATTTAATTGGTAAGTAATTTATTTTTTTCAACTAAAATTAATAGATGAATTAATTTCTATTTATAAATATAGATATAATTACTCATTTACTTTATCATCAATATAGATGTTAAATCGAAGTTAATGAATATATGATTGATTTGATATATTATATATAAAAATTTGATAATAAATATAAAAGTTAATTTTTAAAATATATTTACAATTTATGTTGGTAAAATGTATTATAATTAAATAAAAAAAAAGATTGAGAGAAAAAGAAAGTTTGAGGCAAAAAAATCCATTATTTATAAACCACGTTCAGAATAAAAAATTATTTTAATATAAAATTAATGCTCATAAAAAATGCCATAAATATTCAGCATATTTATGGATAATATCAAGTCTAATTATTAATAGATTGAAAGTAAATTAAAAATTAGCCAAGCCAAATGATGAAGCATGAAAATTTGTCAAATAGAACTCTGAAGCATGCGAGTCGACCACTTAGGCTCAGCAAATTCGAAATTACATATATGGGGGGATTTTTATGTCTCACTAAGATATAAGTTAGTGATAAATTAAAAAAATAATATAAATCCACTAGTTATAATGGGATCATCAATTTGTTGTTGATTATTTATTATGTTCCTTTTTAATAATTAGTTGGTGAGACAGTTCATCTGTAATTCCGTATACCGTTTGACGTTATCGAGAGTAGGACGCGGTTTGGTTTGAGCCTTGAGGTACATACTCAACTAGTATTCCTTTTCTTTATGTTGATTCTTCTTTTCTTTTATACATTCAATTTCATCAATTTCACTTTATTCCCTTTCTCCCACTTATATTTTTCATATCATTCTTATATTAAAAATCAATTATTACCAAACATTTATATATAAAATTTACTATGCACCCACTTACATTTTCATAATCACTAATCATTATTTTACTATTTTTTATCACATCATAGTCAATTATTATTTATAAAAAATAAATAAATAAAATAATTATAATCGTTTATAAAAATAAAATAATCACACCAGATTACGGAGCCATCCGATTGTTTTTCTTACTAAGCCATCGGCCTACGGAGATCTTGCATGGCACAAACATGTGTATTAAAATACACCACATGTGTTATTTGTATTTTGCTTCCTCAGCCTCTCGTTCTCCCCCTCAACAGTTCCGTTGTGCCGCAACCTAATTCTCGCCTGATCATCGGCGAACTGGAGAAGGAGATCACATGCTCCTCATTGAAATCAGACGGTGACACCGCCTTCAATGGGCAGAGACGTTGTCGATGCCACTGCAGTGGACAGAAGCGCGATGATTTTTCGGCGTTGGATGTCACAGAGGAGCTTCTTCTTGCCCCTCCGGAAGCAGTCTTTCGAGACTCCCATCGATTGGGCATAACCTTCCTAAATCCTTATAAATTTACCAAAATTGAAATAGGAAAATCAAAATTCCCTTCATACTCAAACAGAAACTAAGAAGATGATTTGAAGAGTTTGAATCAATCGTACGCACATAATTGTTGAGCTGGCGAACGAAATTGGAGAAATTGTTGTGCTTGAAGTATTTGGGGAGCGAAACGTGTACGAACTTTGTCGGGTTCCAAACGATGAAATTGGATCTGTCATCTGGCTTAACAGGGATTTTGGGAGTTTAAGGCGAAGGCATCAATATTATCTATTTTATTTCTTTACTTTTCTGTTTTATTTTTATTTTCTTTATATATGTAAAATAAATATAACACATGTGGTGTATTTTAATACACATGTTTGTGCCACATAAGAGTCACGTAGGTGGATGTCTCTGTAAAAAAAATAATCGGATGGCTCCATAGAAAAATCGGAACTAATTATTACTATTTATTAAAAAAATTAGAATTAATTACTAAAATGAAATGAAGTTAGAATACATTTTTAGTTGCACTCCTTTGAGAAGCTCAAATCATAATAGTTACAAAACATCTATATTAGTGATCAATAAAGTACATTTTCAAATGTAGATTTTAGACCACATGTAAATATGTTTAATTTAAACCAAATATGTTTGGTTTAACAAAGGGGAGAAGAGAGATTCGACGAGGAAAAGGATAAGAAGAGACGGTGATGTAAAATAATTTTAACTCGTTTGAAGAGATGTTAGTGTTTGTTTGTTTATAAATAAACTCAACTCATACTCAATCCATACTTAATATCTAAAACTCAACTTTAACACAATTTCACTATCCTCAATATTATCAATAAGATAAATTAAGATTATAAAATGGTAAAACTCGTAGTTAGAAAATAAAGAAGAAGAAAAATAATGTAAGAATGACAATTGTACACTTAATAATGTTAGAGATAAAAAATAAAATAATACATATAATAAGAGTAGAAGAGTAAATTCACACACACAAAATTTCCCCACCCCAAGTCCCAACCTAGCAACCAAACAATGAAAATCTATACTTATATAATAAGAATTAACATTTATCCAAAATAGTATGTCAAATTATGGTCAATGTCGGATTTGCATTAAATATTTTCCAAAACCGGTAAGTTTTTGTCCTTTTCACACTTCTCTTTAATCATGTCATTTTCACACTTCTTGTTACTTATGTCCTTTTCACACATCTAATTAAATCATTACATATGAGCTTTTATCGTTAAAATGTATAGCGATTCTGTTATGACCTTATCCCATTGATATTTCCATGAAGCGTCCTTATCGCGTTCTATTTTTTGGTAACCACTCCATATCAATAACCGGATATTTGGTTAATGATAGCACACGTCTTTATTTCAAGGAGCGGATATTCTTTGACCTTTAATTAATCTGAACTGATTGTCTTGACTTTTCAATTTTTAAAAACTCTTTTTTTATCGCACGTTGGTCTTCTCCTGAAGAAACCTGTTTTTAGTCACGGCTAATTATATGTTGCTGCTTCGCGTGTAAATAATAGAAGAGGGTTGAAAATATTAGTTTGTGATAATGAGAAGTTATCAAATAATCAAACTCATAATGTTTTGTACAAGAAGGTTTTTAATAATTTATGATTGTTACCGAACTTTTTATGATTCAACAATGTTCCTATGTATTTTAATGATTTCAATTTCGATCCTAATGCACGTGAGATTATATTATTCTTCCAAATTTTACATCCCGTGCATCACACGGGTTACGTACTAGTGTAAATTATAAAATAACCCTTTCCTTACCCTCCAATTTTCCCCCTACCAAACAAGCCCTAAGATTTCTGTATATACCTTGTTGAAAAACCCTACTTTGACAGTAACCATTCCTTTCAAGTTTCAACAGAAATCACGAAATCAAAAGACAACCCTCCGCCGCTGCTGAAAAAAAGAGAAATGGCCCCCAACACCCAAATTCCCTCGAAGCAGAAGAAGCCAAGAGAACCCTCTTCTGAAGAAGAAGAAGAAGACACTGAGGAACAGCAATCAGATTCAGCCTCCTCCGGCGACGAACAAGTGATGGCGAAATCCAGAGGCGCCGATCAGGATATCGGGTCGGATTCCGATTCGGATCTGGGCGACTACAGGCTGCAGCCCGTCACAAAAACCCCCAAATTCTCTTCCAAACGCGCCCGCGACGAGGACGAGAAGAAGGAGAAGACCGTGGAGGTGGCGAAATCCCCCGGCGGGTGCATTACCAGACTATGGAGCGACGACGACGAGGTGACCCTGCTGAAAGGGATGATCGCGTTCAGGGAAGCCAGGGGGCGGGACCCGAGCTCCGATATGGCTGCCTTTCACGATTACATTAAGGGGAATCTGAAGTTCGAGCCCTCGAGGGTGCAGCTGAGGAGCAAGGTCAACAGGTTGAAGAAGAGGTTCATGAACGCCCTCAAGAAGAGCAACAATGGCGAGGATCCTATCTTCTCGAATCCCCACGAGTACAGTCTGTTTGACCTTTCCAAGATAATATGGGGCCCCTCTGGAAGTAACAGCATTCAAATTGGCCAAAATTTGGATAAAAATGTCCTCAAAGAGAATGAAAATGATAAGGAGAAGGAGAAGACGGAGATGGAAGTGTGGGGGGCTAAGAACCATACCAAGGATGCGAGGAAGAAGGAGATGATGAGGTGTTTCTTGATGGGAACAGAGTTGAAAGGTTTTGACAAAAGGACTTTGGCAGCTGCAAATCACATGCTTGAGGGAGAAATGGTGGATGAAGATAAAAAAAGGGCTTGGAAGGAGCTGAAGATTGAAGAGATGAAGGTCGTTTTCAGGCATTCAAAGGTGAAAGCAAAACAGGCAAAGCTTCTTCAGCAGTTCATCATCAACTCCTAGTCTGTCTTGCTGGTTTTGTTAATTAATGTCTAGGGTGAACCTGAACCCTGTTTATCCTTTTTTAAGTTCTGCTTTACTTATTTTGTGATGGACCTTGGTATCTAACTATATTATCAGTATGCTTGTCAATTTTTATGTCTGAATTCAATTGATTAGCCATATACATTGAATCAATTTACTATGAACAACTTGGCCCAAAAAGTATCCAACCATGTTGTCATGTTCACACTGTCACAAGTGTGTTGGGTGAATCTGTTATGTAAAAAATGTTGTTTTCCTGTTTTGCTTGACTGGAATCGAATGCCCGTTGTTTGTTTGGGTGACTCATTTTCAAATGATCTATTTTGAGGATACGATTCCCCTTGGGAATAGTCATCACATTTAACAGTGTGGCAATTGCAAACTTCGGGGGCTGTACGCCTTGGCAATTTTGACAAAATTGGTCGAAAAACTAGTTTTGTTAAGCTTGGGTGGAACTACCTAGGATTCATTAGATGTGTTAGTGACAGATGTTTTCCTCTTCAACTAAAACCTTGAAATATGTCTTTTTTCATGTTCCTTTCTGGTACTATCTAATTTTGTTTAAATTGGGCGGGGGCATGCGAATAAAAATGGCTGGCTCATGCGCTATCAGTTTTTCTTACTTATCTTGTGCCGTAAGTGTTGAGTTTGTCAGGTGGGATTGAATGAGCGCAATCACATACTAGTATATTCAATTGGTAGAACAAGCCTGTTCTAATGTTGGTCAGATTATGTATAAAAGCTGAAGTTCAAATGACTCTTGACCCAACGCTTATTCGCACTATATCCATTCATGATTAGAGCAAATATAAACCAACCATACTAAATGGGTGACATTTGCTGAAGAGACCATACCAATTGATAAAACTCAAAAATCAATTGCTAATGAATATTAAAATTACATTTTCAAAATCTCTGCCAACTAAAAGCTGAAAACCAGCTTTACCCAAAATTCCTGACATAAACCTATTTAGTGCATCAGATAGCCAAAAATTTGCCTAAATGGAAATCGTATTGGCTTGAACCAGATTGTAATCGGGCATGCTTACATAGCTTCAATGCCTAAATAAAAATCGTAATGGCTTGAACCAGATAGTAATCGGGTATGCTTACATGGCTTCAATGGTCTCTTCAACCTTCTTACGCTTTGGTCGTCCACAGTGCCTCACGTCCTTACCTTGTAGTAGTTCCAAAGCTTTCTCCATGGTTATTTCCCCAGGCTTCGTATTCTGTAAGAACATTCAAAACAAGGTCTTGTAAAACATCAGCAAATTTGAAAAAACCAACAAGTGAACAGTAATTAACTCGTCAAAGAATGGAAGCTGCATTGCCAGAACACATTAATAACGATATAAGGAGTAATTATATGCAACAGACTTTACCTTTGGCACGGGAGCAATTGAGCGCCGATGTCTAATTGAAAAACCTACTTTTGCAAGCTTTAATATTACCGGATGGCCATCATGCGGATGGTTTCCCTGAAAAAAGCAACCGGTTTATACGATAACTCGAATAACAACTGGAAAGTGAAGAAAGGAAATTGTAAATTACTAAAAAAAAAAAAAAAAAANAAAAAAAAAAAAAAAAGTTACACCCGAGCTGTAGTATAATCACTATATATAAAAAAAAAGAGAGAGGGAGCGAGGGAGGGAGAGAGAACTACCTCCCAAGATTACAAACAACATTTATTTACAATTAACGAATTGCACCCTCAAGGTATTTATTGCAATTTGCAAGGTAGTTACAGCAATAAGGCTAAATATCAAGGTAGTTACTGCAGTTCTCTGTACATATAAAATCGGAACATACCAAGGTTAGTGGATACTTAAGTAACTCGAGGGCATCTTCTAAAGTGATGGAGCTGACATCCTTGATCTAAAATGCAGAGAAACAAGGAATATACAAATTAGTGTGCAAAGAAAAGGGCATAAATCGAGAAGTATAAACATGTTCTGCAGACCAGCGAGCTGATACACATGCATGAGATATAGGTAATACCGTAATAAGAAGATGAAGGTCCGAAATTCTAAACTACATTACATGAGTTGCATAAGCATGAATGATGCAGGTAAAGATTTATTGAAGAGATTTTCCCAAAGCTTCTTTATCACCTAAGGGGACTTCACACATGGTGCAAGATAACCAATATGGCATTTTGATAAACTTGGGATCGAGAGCCTCAAAGACTATCCCAGCAACGATATACTAGAATATAAATTAATTAGTAACAGTTAACACACAGAATTACACAGATAATAAGTAGTTCTTTAAATGCAGAAAAATAGAACGAAAGTCATACCCACGATGCCGAAGCTCGCTTTGGTGCATGTCCCTTCATGTTTTCACCAAGCTGCACATAGGATCCATATGGGCCAGTCTTCAAGAAAACCTTAGTAAATGAAAAAACAGTAAGTGAATCCAAACCAAAAATATATTTACATACATAGCATCAAAGGACAAAACAGTTACTGGTCACATATAACAATATACTTATGGTAAAATGAAAACCTTCTCATTGGACCCTGGATTCAGACCGAGCAACTTTGGTTCCTGCACATTGTTATTTTGCTTCTCAGGAGTAGCATCTTCATCATCATCACCATAGAGCGTTTTAGCAATATACCTGCACATAGTCAAGATCATTACAAAGCACACCCCAGATTGAATTATATACAACAATCATAAAAATTTATACTCCACGATGTCCGGGTCTATACTCACTTGCATCTTGGGTGCTGATCGCAGCCAATAAAATAACCCTCACCAAACTTGCTCACTTTGAAAACTAATGTCCCCACCTGGCAGCTAGGGCAGGTTCTATTCCCATCAGGTAGTGAGGAAAACAAGAAACTGCCAAACGTCTTCCCCAGCATCTTCTCCACCTCGTGGATATGAACTTTGCTGGTGATCTCACAGTACTTACTAAATCTGGTCCAATAATCACTCAGAAGGCCCCTCCACTCGGTTATTCCGGCCGAGACATTATCGAGCTCACTCTCCATGTCGGCGGTGAAGCTGTAATCCGTCACCTCCGAAAAATAATGAGAGAGGAACGCCGACACCATTCGGCCACGAAACTCCGGGCACAGGGTCCGGCTTTTCATTGTTATGTAATTCCTATCTTTCAGAACCTTGATAGTGGTGGCATATGTGGAGGGCCTCCCTATGCCGAGTTCCTCGAGCTTTTTCACCAATGACCCCTCCGTGTAACGTGGCGGCGGCTGCGTTTGGTGTTTACCCAGTTCAACTTTAGTCAGGCACAGCAGATCTCCACTCTTTAACCCGCTCAAAATATCGAAGACTTCACTACGATGGTACTTGTCGTCATCTTCGTCATTCTGAACTTTTACAGACTCAACATCCTCGTAAACAGCCTGAAAGCCCAGAAAATCCACCTTCGAGCGAGTGGACCGGAAAATAATGGAGTGGTTGGTGTTTGCAAAATCACACTGCAACTGTTTGATGACGGCAGGCTCCATCTGGCAAGCCATCGTGCGGGCCCATATGAGAGTGTACAGCTTAAGGGCATCCACGTCAAGGGCCCCAACGAGCGTAGATGGCAGCCTCCGGATATTGGTGGGACGGATGGCCTCGTGGGCCTCCTGAGCATTCTTCACCTTCTTGAAAAACCTGCGTCTAGTCTTGGCGGCAAAATCAGCCCCATATTTCTCAGCCACAAACGATTGGATGTCCTTTGCAGCCTCATCGGATAAGTGCAACCCGTCAGTCCTCATGTAGGTTATGAGCCCCACGGACTTTCCATCTGACAGCTGGACACCCTCGTAAAGCTTCTGAGCGACTTTCATTGTGTGTGATGCCGAAAAGTTCAATCTGTTGGCCGCATCTTGCTGGAGGGTCGACGTTATGTATGGCGTGGGTGGGTTTCTTTGGATTTTACTGGTTTTGGTGCTGAGGACTACAAACTCGGATTGGTTGACCTTTTTATGAATATTTTCTGCCTCCTCATTAGAGCCAATTGACAGCTGGCTCAGCTTCTGAGAACCGAAATGGGTCAAATGTGCCGAGAGGGAGATTTTGTTTGTCTGGCTTTGATCTTTCTTCTGGAACTCAGCATCAACCGTCCAGTACTCCTTGGGTTTGAACTCATCGATTTCTTTTTCCCTTTCGCATAGGAGGGCTAAGGCGGCAGACTGGACGCGGCCAGCAGACTGGCAGCCTGGCAATTTCCTCCATAGCAGAGGAGACACATTGAAACCGATGAGATAATCGAGAGCACGCCTCGCAAGATAAGCGTGCACCAAGTCAACATCGATCTCACGAGGTGCCTGGAGTGCATTTTTAATGGACGACTCAGTTATTTCATTAAAGACAACTCTTGCTACTTGCACACCTTCACGCAGAGCATCCTGTTGATGCAACATTTCTATGATGTGCCAGGCAATGGCCTCTCCTTCGCGATCAGGGTCCGAAGCTAGAATAAGATTTTCTGCTCTGAAACAATGGAGGAGAGATGAGATAGTATACAGATAGTATACCAGCCAATTAGTTGATATATAAAATAATAAAAAAAAAAAAAGGTAAAATAAATAGCAAAATCAAAGCCATAGAGAAAAGGTGAAACTTTCTTAACTAATGTCGAAGCATGTCCAAGACTCAGAAAAATGAAAAAAATGCAATGACCCTCTAAAAAATTACAAAAGTTTATAACCATGAGGAACAATAAAAAGATTCCCATAACTTATCCAAACAAAAATTATATTTTTGTTCCCAATCATCCAAACATCATTAGCAGCGACAAAAATGACAATAGTCTAATTTGTGTATTTTAATGTTTGTGGTTATGAATTGCAATTTTGTTAAATATTATAAGAAAGCAAACAACAAAAATGATTTAGCCAAAACAGTATTATAACCAAAATTAAAATAGTCAGAATGCTACATACCCGCTTAGTGCAACCTTAATACTCTTAAGATGAGACCAGGCAGGAGAAGGGACTTCCCACACCATACTAAAGTCATCATCAGGCCGCACTGAACCTGATCTAGCAGCCAAGTCTCTGACATGACCATAACTAGGAAGGACCTCGTACATATCACCAAGGTATCCTTGAATGACTTTGGCTTTCGTGACGGACTCAACCACAACGACTGATTTACCAATTGGCGGGTATAACTGGCGCCAAACTTTTTTGCGTCCAGGTTTACTCTTATTGCTCGGGGGTGAACTTTGGCCAATTGAAACCACCTTGCCATCACCAGACTGTCGTTTAGTCTCATTGTTGGATTTCGGTACAGAACTCGTTTTCTCGTTACATTGTCCCTTTTTCCTCGCCTTTCTGGGAATGTTATTTGTCGTGATATTGCTGGAAACCTCCTTGGTTGGAGAACTTGAAGTCAAATTATTCTGCACACAAGCATTGGTTAGCCGAAACAATTACATGTTGAGTAACTAATACCGAATTAGACACAGAAGAAATACTTCTAACTAACCTCTGATGAAACAGAAGATGGTTTACGTTTGTTATTCATAATCTGTTTTGCTTGAGAGTTTTTCACTGAGCTACTAGGAGTGTCTGCTAAATCAACAGAAGCACACACGCTCGATGATTGTTTCTGTTTTTTCTTGCTTTTAGATTGATGTTTCACTTTCTCTTTGCCCTTGGGCATTCGACCACTGTTGCTTATGGTGGACTTCAAGCTACCCTCAACATTTTCTTTACTTGATGAGGGCATATCGGCAATATTTTTCGGTGCTGATGCTTTTACTTCAGAAGTGCCACTTACCAACTCCTCTGTGGACACTGCATTTCCTTTGTGGGCGCCCAAGGCCTTCTGCCCCTTGCGATGCTTTTTGAATTTTTTGAAGAACTCAACGTTCCTTTGACTGCCTCCGGCACCACCTTCCGTCATAACAACATTTTTCCGGGTACCAGCTCTCGGAATCTGGGAAAATGACCTAGTACCAGTACAAAAATGATGACTTGGTCGAAGCCCACTCACCAACCCGTAACATGAAATATTCATGGGCATTCGGGTGCTGGGAAGTTCACATCCAAGGGGCGGCCCGAATCTGAAGGCAGAAAATGAGCGAGGCCCATCAACAGGACTCCTCGGCGGATGATTCTTGATTCTGAGAGGAAATGATATCCCAGCTCTCAGGAGATTATTTTGCAATTTCTGAACATTCGGAGATGCATACTTTAAGCAGATCTGGGGATATCTTTTAAATGCCCGGCTCTGCAACTGAAAAGATCAAAATAAAATTACAAGACCAGCATGTAATACCAATACATCAAAGACCATAGAAAACCCTTCTTTCAAATACTTAATAAGGCACAGGACAGGCGACAATTGAAGACCGAGTCTGTCTTAAATAATTATAAGTAGAGCATACAAGTACTGGATTGTCTTAAACGAACTGCTAATCCTTATTTATGTCCTTCCTAC